TTCGGGGCCTGTAGGTGCGTTTCAGCTTTTTTGAGGTGCGTTTCAGGTGCGTTTCAGCTTTTTTCCAATGTTTTTGTGGGTTTTTATTGCACAGGGCTGACTTTCGGTGTCTGTTCTGCAAGCTTGCCCGTTTAGAGACTATAGTTTTATAGGCCTCCATGTCATTATATAGCGGCCATGCAAAACGTAGGATATTGTCTAGCAAAGAAAAGGTACCTGCATCCCCCCGACACCTTAAATAGAGACTCCCCTGACTCGAAGCCTTGCAACCGGCAGTAAGGTCACAAAACAAACCTCTCAAAGCAAAGCCAGGTCCCTTCACCCCGTGTCCGAAGCTTCTTGCAAAACCCCAAGCTGCACTGTACTCAGGAGCCACAAGAAGAGCGAGGACGTTCGAGAGCATTTCGCGGCCTTGGCAAGGGCGGCCTACCAGGACAACCGCAGCAAGGCGGACTCTTTCAGGACTGCTCAGAGCAAACGACGTTTGCCCAGCGAGGAGGAGGCCGTGGAAGTTCGACAACAGAAGGCCATCGAGGCCGATCGTCAGAGGACGGTGGTGCTCGAGGACTCCTGGACCTGGACCTTGGGAGTGGCCTTTCGAGACTTGGTGGAGGTCGGAAGTGGGGCCCATGGACAGGTCTTTCGGGCGACGTTCCAGAACCAGCCTTTGGCCCTGAAGCTGGCCAAAGGCCGGGGACTGCAGGACCCCATGCAAAGGGAGGCCGCTGGGACTCTGGACGTGGCTGAGGAGTTCGCCGTGCTCGGGGCTCTCGGCCAGCACCCTAACGTTGTTCGAGCTTTCGCTGTTCTGACCAGCTCGCTCGGAAGGCCAGCCCTGGTCCTCGAGTGGGCAACCCAGAGCTTGCACGAGCTGGCCCGCCGCCTCAAGGACGACCGACTGGAGAACACGACGGCCGGGAGGGACTCGCTGCTCCAGCTTTTTCAGCAGTTCCTCGTCGGCCTCAGCTTCGTGCACGGTCGTTCCTTCCTGCATCTGGACGTCAAGCCCAGTAACATCCTGGTCTTCGAAGGCGTTCGTGCTGCACTTGCAGATTTTGGCCATGCA